AGGATGGTCTCGATCTCTTGACCTCGTGATCCACCCGCCTCGGCCTCCCAAAGTGCTGGGATTACAGGCTTGAGCCACCGCGCCCGGCCTAATATTACACAGATTTTTAAGATTCCTAACTAATTGCTCACACAGGGGCACAAGTCAGCTGTATGTTCCAAATACAATCTCCACTGGTCTTCCTAATAAGAAAGTCTGTCTTATAACTTTTTTTTTCCCCAAAGTGATGGCTTACTTATTATTAGAGATTATGGTGGAAAGATAGACTAATGTTCTAACAGTACCATTTTTTCCTCCAGATAGGATAATGTATTTATCACTAGAATGTCTTCAGTTTTCCATAGTCAAAGAATATGTTCCAATGTAAAGGATGACGTAGAAACAAAATCTAGTCTTCCTTATGTGGCACTTAAAAAGATTTAAAAAAAAATTTTTTTTTTTTAAGACAGGGTCTCACTCTGTTGCCCAGGCTGGAGTGCAGTGGCACCATCAGGGCTCACAGCAGCCACAACCTCCCTGGGCTCAGGTGATCCTGCTGCCCTCAGCCTCCTGAGTAGCTAAGACTACAGGCGTGCACTAACATGCCTGGCTAACTCTTGCACTTTTTGTAGTGGTGAGATTTTGCCATGTTACCCAGACTGGTCTCAAACTCCTGAGCTCAAGTTATCTGCCTGCTTTGGCCTCCCAAAGTGCTGAGATTATAAGCATGAGCCACCATGTCCAGCCAGATTTTAAAAATTCTTTAATTTTGTTTTCTAAGTGTCAGGCAGCATGATGGAAAAGAACACTGAATTTGGAGTATGAAGAGTTGGGTTCATGTTTCAATCTCTGAGGCTCTCATATACTTCAGTCAAAAAAGGAGGACAATACCACCTGCCTAAGCCACCTGTCAGGAATATTGTAAGGGTCAAATAAGATACATGGTAGTGCTGGGTGCGGTGGCTCAAGCCTGTAATCCCAGCACTTTGGGAGGCGGAGGCGGGTGGATCACGAGGTCAAGAGATTGAGACCATCCTGGTCAACATGGTGA